GTTCATGGCTGTGGATCCCAAGAGCAGTCTCGTCTTGGCAGTCACGAACATGGAAAACCCAGAAAACAATGCGGTGGCAAAGAAGATCGTGATCCAGGCTGTTTCCAAAGCTCCCCACATCAACTGCATCATCTACGACCGCATGTGTGCATGCTATCAGCAGCTGGGGCGTGAGACGGCCTTGAAGAAGATCAAGTTCTGGTGTGTGGATCGGTTCCACGCACAAGCCCACGCTCCTGGTTGTGCCTGTTCTCCTCTGGTTCATAGAAGGCTTGATCGTCGCCTGGAGTATGTCAACACGTCCGCAGCCGAACAAACTTTCGCATGGTTCCGCAACTATGCTTCGGTGCTCAACACCAAGGCAACGGCTTCCCACATCTTCCACGTTCTTGTCTATGTCAAGAGGCACAACGACTTGATTCGTCGCAACTACAAGAAGCACTTGAACGCATTCAGTGCCATGAAGAAAGTCGCGCGTGTCAATCGTGTCCTTCGCAAACCCGCAGCCAAGAAGTACGTCTGCCGCCGTCCAAGCGCTTCCTCCCGCACCGCCATGAAAGCGAGAAAGAACGTCATGAAGGTCCACCTCAAAAACAAGGTCATCAAGAAGTGAAGCAACACCAATGCTATAGGGCTGTCTTTTCAAGCGATTTGTTATGGGATCCTTGTGCAGGAGCATGCAAAGCTGTCGATGGAACTGTTGACTATAACATATAGTGTATTTGCACATTATCGACATGCGGGAGTCATGGCCTGTTCAAGAAGACACATGCATGAACTTTGCATTGTGTGAATGACGAGTACGTGTTGTTATCACAACTCGATCTCTGCAGTCATCTCTCCTGACAGAAATCAGCAAGACCTGCGCCAAGCACATGTCGATGCTACAGACCTAGTATGTATGTCGTGTTTCCACTGAGGTATGGGCCCCAGATCCCTTCGAGCTCGAACGTCAGTTGTTGGTATGTTGACGTGTGTGATGTGGCTTATAGAAGTTACTGTAAATAACACTATTTCCCTCGCAAAACACGGGCCCGTATTCCGACGCACCCTCTTTGGGTTTAGGGTTCGCTCAGCCGGCAGAGACAGCAGGCTGTTGAAGCAGGTTTAGGGTTGAGAACCTTCCCCGGGTTCTGGCTGAGGGGTGAAGGACCTGAGGAGAGCACAGAAAGACGGTGCGCATGTGAACCCCCCAAACCCTCAAATTACAGACCTCTGACCTGAAACGCACCCGGGCGTGTCCGAAACACCCCCTTGAAGAGGCTGAAACGCATCCATGCGGGTCCGAACAGCGGACTTGAAACGCAACTCGCTGTACACAAAACGGCGGACCCGAAACGCACTTCCACCCCCATTGGTACTCCACTATACAGTCCAAACCCCAGCTAAATACCCCAAACCCACGCACGGATCTGAGAAGCTGTCCCACACCATAGCAAAACATAAAATCCTTACATACTCACCTGCACAGGCACATTAAGTCTCGCAAAAAAGTAGAATCATACCCGTTCTTAGAATGATGGTCCTTCCTTCTCGCTGTCACACTGCTTGTACTGTTTACTGTTCTGGCAGTTGAGTTCGGGCTGAACTGGGAAAGCTACCTTTGTTAGCCGCATCTTGTTTTTGTTATTGTTGTTATTATTGTTGTTGTTGTTGTTGCTGTTGCGGGTGTTGTTGCTGCTGTTGTTGTTCTTGTGGTCGTGGTCGTGGTCGTCGTTGTCATCGTCGTTGCCGTCGTCGGCGTTGTCGCTGTTGCGGTAGCTGCAGTGGTTTCGCATGTTGTCTCGCTTGGGAGGGATATAAGTCATGGTCCAAAGTGCTTGATTGATAGATGGACCAACCTCCATGGTTTCAGCTTGAAGGTGCGCAATCAGGTTTCCATTCGATTCAAACAACAGAAGCCCAGTGCACGACGCTTTCTGCAGCTTGCAGCCTGCAGCCTGCAAGCATGCCAGGTTTCCGGCGCTGTGGCCCAGGAGCGGCGGCGCTTGGCTCGCACGGCTGGGTTGGGCCGAGCGAATGCCCGGAGCCCTGGGAGATGAGACGCAAGCAGGGCTTCGGAGTTCTGTGCTTCGGGAGCCCCCCCCCTTCCCCCTCGACAGTGTCTGCATGTTGCCTCGATTAGTTACCGCCGTCCGGCTCACGTGCGCGTTGACAAATTAATCAGCTCTATATCCTTGACAGGGTGATCAGACTGTCCTAAAGCTGACTTGGCAATACGGGACATGGCAGCATGTTGCTGACGAGTTGCTGCCTCACTTCTCAACATGTCGCAGGACGAGTGCGGAAACAATGGACAGCAACCAAGAGCTTAAGCCCGTCGATACCCCGAGTCCGCTCTCTCGAAGACTTGTACGCATGAAAAGCACCCGTGAGCTGCGAAAACCTTAAATTGGCAACATTCCACAGACATCGGTAGCCCAACATGGCTCACCCCACGTTGCTGCTTGCACTGGCGGCTTTTGCTGTGAGATGTGCTGCGGACATGGTCGCAGTGACAGGGGCGCGACCGGGAGAGTCAAGCCAACGTTAGGGCTGGAGGGTCCGGGGTTTTTCGGGTTTCGGGTTTCGGGTTTGGGAAGTTTAGGGTCGTAACTGGGGTTTCGGGATTTCGCGTTTAGAGATTCAAGGGTCTGTTAGTTTAGTTTAGGTTTACGGTGCTGGAGTTTAGGGGTTTAGGAGTTACAAGGTTTGGGGGTTAACTTTAGGGGTTTGGAGATTTAATGGTTTACCGGCTTGGGGTTTCGGGTTTGGGGTCTAAGGCTACGGGGTGTATGGTTCAGTCGTCTATGTCACGGCATCATTGTCTAGTTCTTGGTTGCAGCGTTTAGCGCATCAGGGTTTGACAAGTCAGAGTCGGAGGTTTGAGGATTTGGTGTTTAGAGGTTGGGAGTTGGGGTTTAGGGGTTTGGGGTTCTTCAATCAAGGGTTTAGGGTTTGGAGTTTAGGGGTTCAGGGGTTCAGGATTTCGGGCTTGTCAGGGTCTTGGTGTTTAGGGTTTCGGGCCACAGTGTTTAGGCGTTTAGAGGGTTCAAGCAGCTCGGGGTTTTGGAACTTGGCGTTTGGAGATTTGGGGTCTAAGTTTAAGGGTTCTACGGATACATGATTTGGGAGTTTCGAGGTTTAGGGCTTGCAGGGTTCAAGGTTGGTTCGGTCGCGTTTTGGCGCTCAGCGGTTTGGAGATCTTCGGGGTTCTAGGGATTCGGGGCTTGGAGGTTTGGGTTTCAGGAATTTCGCTGTTAGGGGTTCAAGGGTTACGGTTCTAGGGTCTGCTGGCTTGGCGGTTAAGGGGTGTGGGGTTTCGGGCTCTTTGTGTAGGCGTTTGGAGGGGTAGGGCTAGGGTTGCTTTATAACTATGTTTTTTTACTGGGCCCAAGCCCTCGCCATTGATAGCCAAATAATACTGAGTGCAAGCGAGTTGGCAGATATTTGTCTTTCGAGTTTCGTTTGCTGCCGGAAAATGGACAATGGCAAGATGCAACACCCGCCTGAATCCACCTGACGACAGCCTCTTGTGGAGAGATGGAAAATTAACAATCGGGGAGCTACCGTCAGCTGTCCTGTACAGTTTTGGCTTTCCCAAATCCTGTTTGCTGGGAGGTAAACTTCAGACTGACCATCGTCCTTTTAGATTTCTGTCGTGCCTTTACTGCACATCCTAGGTCCAGGAGCACAACAGGCACTTTGTCGATCCTTCAAGGAATCATTCTCCGCGGCTAGAGTGGATCCTACCTCGGGATGCAAACCCCAACCCACTAGAGTCAGCAAACCATCTACTGCTCTCAGTTTCGGACGGGACCATGACCGCAGCGTCCAAGACACTGGTTGCTTGACACCTGCCGTTTGTAGCTGGGATGTTCGGAAGCTATGATCACGGCCAGCTACCACATCCAAGTTGCAGCGGAGGCCACCGGCAAGCTCGGACGGCACGCTGTGCAGCAGCTTGTGGAGCAAGGCCGTTCGCTCGTTGACAGTCTCGGGATTTGGAACACGAACTGTATAGGAACGTGCATGCATGGATGCATTGGGTGGCGCAGACGCATTGCGAAGCCACATTGGATAGGCACAGGCGTATTGCGAAGACGCATTGGATAGGCGAAGACGCGTTGAGGAAGCGGAGACGGCTTCAGAAGACACGTTGCGAGGCTACGGTTCCGGTGGGCGCAGACGCATTGCGAAGCCGCTTTCACGACATAGCGGCCACGAACAGGACGCGAAGACAAGTTCACATGCATGACTCGCATGACATTTGATTGGGCGTGGGTCTCGCAAGAGATCTGATATTACAATCATGGGCTCTCCATCAGTCCAAGGCTCCATCCTGGGAGGTTCAGGTGTAATTAGAAGAGTTCGGCTTGTGAATGAGTGTGAAAAGGACCAAAACAACCCATCCCCCAACTCCATCTCCACACGGGCTCCTTATTGCGGGGAGGAGCACGTGTGGGGATGGCTCAATCTGTATCTTCGGCCAGAGGTACCGTAGGCGTCCTCATTAGAGCTTGATTAGAGCTCACATTGGCCGCGGAAAGCCCGTCAGTCCAAGGCTCCACCCTCGGAGTTCAAGATTTGTAAGAGTTCTGATTCAAAAGTCAGAGGCGCCCCATCAGTCCAAGGCTCCATCCTCGGAGTTCAATTTTCGTATCAGAGTTGTGATTTCAACATCAGGGGCCCCCATCTGTCCAAGGCTCCACCTTCGGCGTTCAAGGGTTGTAAGACTTGTAAGAGTTCTGATTTGGAAATCAGCGGGCGCCCCATCAGTCCAAGGCTCCATCCTCGGAGTTCAATTTTCGTAAGCGTTGTGATTTCAAGATCAGGGGCGCCCCATCAGTCCAAGGCTCCACCGTCGGCGTTCAAGGGTAGGGGGCGCCCCATCAGTCCAAGGCTCCTCCCCGGAGTTCAAGCTTTATAGGAGTTCTGATTCCCGAATCCCGAAGGTTACTCCGTCCGCTGCCTCTGTCGCTCGGCGCCGACAAAGCCCAGCAGGGGCGAGGATGCCACGGCCGGCGAGGCTCCGACCCGGTCATACCGAGCCAAGAGTAGGAATAGATTGCAGGGTGCCATACAGTTCTCAACGGATTGCGTAGGTTCCGGGAGGGACGAACACGGCCCAAACTGTGAGCTCAAATCTTCTAAAAGTATTTTGAAACTGTTGAATAAACGTACTACAGGCTCCGGGCCGCAGCCTCAAAAGCCCAACGAGTGCGACCAGTTTTGCATTCCCAAGCCATGGAACCCGTCAGTGCACACGAAGGTCGCAGCATGGTTGGCTACGCTACCGGGAGTCGAAGTATTTCAGGCGTGCTCCGGTACGGATTCGATAGAGGTACAGAGTGTTTGGGGGTTTTGGCTTTACAAGATTGGGGAGGCTGAATCATCCGTGATCCCCGTTATAGACCCAGGCCAGAATCAAAATGCGAGTGCACTAGTTCTATCCTACAAAAACCAAAGCCCCCAAACCTTCAAAATGACTTGCACCTTTATTCTCAGAAGAGTTCCGGTTGCTGTGGAAGAACTGTTGATTTGGAGTTTTGTTCTCTGTGGTCTGTCGTTTCGGGCTTAGAGTTCGCAGCTTTAGCGGTTCCGGCAGCGTTCCTTTGACCAGCTCGCAGGGAGTAGGGTTTTGAAACTTCCAGGTTCGGTGTTTGCTTCACAGTTGCGTGGCTCAGGTTTGGGATCCGTTTCGATCCGATTGCATCGAGGGATACAAGATGCTGTCCCGCTGTTTTTCTTGCAGCGAAAGGAACCGAGCAGGTGCAAGTGCCAGGAGATGGTAGTATCCTGCGAATTTTCCTGCTTTTGTTCCGGAGCAGTCCGGCTTTCTGTGCGCTAAACTTTGTGGTTTCGGCTTGTACATGGATGGTAGCACCTGGCTTTGGGATAAGGTTTGAGGGCTCAATCTACGGCTTCGAAGTCTCGCCTGTCAGGGCCAGGTGACCGAGAAGGAGAAAGTCATGGAGTTGCTGCGAGGCAAAGAGAGCCCAGAGCCCCTGGATATGTCGGGAATACGATGACCAAAGCAACATCTTGCCGAGAAAGGCATTGATTGGTTTTAACGGAATACGCCAAATGCGCTTGGTAGCCCCAACACCATAGTCCTCAGCTGGTTTGTAAGAAATAGGACTGTCGGGAGCACGTAACTTAAGCTGGACACAGCAGTACTGCCTTGTCTGAGTGCTGGTGGACATGCCGTCTGATGTAAACATCTTGCCGCTTGATGAGCCGCATGTCGTTCTTCAGAAGTAGATTCACTGTGAGTCAGTTTGGGACCAGAGCCGGCAGCAAGACTTCGGGAGGAAATGCGGAACTTCGAGGACACTCCGGTGACATAACCGCCCAAACACACCTGGGCAATTCCTACCGTAGGAGCATCGTAAGAAGCCGGGCGGCCCAGACAAGAACATGCAAAGCGAAGCCCAGCCAGACCCCTGGAAGCCGTACCCAAGCCCCCATGGCCGCGGGAGGCCTCATCTTTGCCATTCCCTCAACTCTGGAGGCTGCAGCGCTTGCTTGGCTCTTCACGGCGCCAAGCGTTACACTAAGCCCGAGGACTTGCTTCCCTGGGTGGATGCCGCTCGGACGCAGATGCGGGGTTCAGGGTTAAAGGTATTGAGAGTTCAGCTCTCATGGCCGACGTCGGATACAGGGCTTGCTGAGTCGAGGCCTGAGAGGACTAATTCAGTGCAATCTTCCGCGAAGCACCTGCCCCTGCCTGGCACACATCCCACACTGGGCGGTGGCACAGAACCGGAAATCTGACTTCGAAAGATAAATCTGTCTCAAGCTGCACCATCTGAGCAAGAGTAGATCTTAGTCCAGGTAGTCTAATTAGACAGCAGGTCTAGTGGAGAGGCATGTGAGGACAGCGAAACTGAGCCTTGAAGGATGACGGGGAAAGAAAGGCGCTCTCATTGTGAAGAGTTCGAGACGGATGTTGGCCTTCGTTTCCTGCCTTCTCTCCCCCTCTGCTCGCCAAGCAGATCAGAAGCCAAGGAGTCGACAGATGCCAATCACGGGAAGCAGGCTGAACTCGATGCTTGTATCTGACAGCCCATGTCAGCATTTAACATTCAAGGCTAGAGGACTTTTGGAGTTCGTAGTAACTTGGAGATTCATCAGTAAGTCCTTTCAGTGATTAGCTCGGTTTTCTGATCATGGAAATCCACGTACCTCCAAATCAATGCCTGGAGCTGGTCCGACACCGCCCCCACCCCCACCCCCACCAGCATTGCTTATGCCAGGAATTGCTGCTACCATTTTCACTGTTCACGGCTCTTAACTTTCGATGGAAATACACCAGAAACCAATAGTCACAGTCAGAAACCAATTGCCAACAGTAACAGGATGAGTAAAACGGGATCAAGTTGCCGGAGATGAAGCCGTCTGGAACCCGCGTTCAGGTGAACTGCGAAGCTGTGGGGTATCTTCTGAACGCAGCTGTGGCGAACGGCTCCATGTCAAAGTCCCTCACACTGTGGGGAGATGGGCGGAGACCTGATGCATACAGGCGCACGAGCACGTGACACCCCACCATGCAATAGCAGGTGCACCTTTGTGTTATAGCCTGTATGACAAGATTTCGCGTATTCTGTGCGGCTCGAAATTCTGTACTAAAAAGCTTATGCTGGCATATGCACAGAAGTAACGACATTCCTGTTGTTTTAAGCTGCGTCACACTTCCACAGATTGCAAGACATGTGCATTCTGTGCATTGAGGAATTCAGTTGCACATGCGATCAGGCCGAGCGTAGCTCGATGTGAGCGCCCCCAAAATTCAGCGTATTGAGTTCGCCCCGAGCCAAGGCCCCCTCGTGACACATGCTTGGGAATGCAACCTCCGCGCAAACGAGGCTGCAAGCGGCTCGTCCGAGTCACTGGCAAGGCCGGGCATTGTGCCAGTTGAGGGCTTGGGCTTTGATCTCAACCTTGCTGCCATTCATCCGTGTTTCACCGGACTGGAACAGCGTGTTGGCTGTGGGGAGAAGAAAAGACCCTGCGACGAAGCAACTCTTGAAGTTTAATTTAAGCCAGTTCAACCACCTGATCCATGAGGTTGAATGATGTATGTGCTTCAGAGGTTTGATTTCTGTACTGAACGGGTGTCAAGTTTGCATGTATTTGTCGTCTTCGTCTTGGGTCTAGCCCTAATCTAGGCGGGGCTGGCAAAATGATGCACGCATGCGCCGATAATGAGCCTTGGTTTCTTGCGGACAAAGTTGCCGTCCGGTCACTGAGTCGGCCGAAAGGGCGAAGATCCCTGGTCTCCCTTTTCGAGACTTGGCGGCTCCGGGAGCATTGAGATCCTACATGAAGCCATCTGGTGTACCTGGCGTTCTCAGCCGAGGATTTGGAGGTCTAGACTGGGTTTAGTTCGGGGTTCTGGTTGTAGGGCTTCCAGCTATGAGCTCAAGGGTATAGTGGGGTGCATGTGTTTGATTGATACGAGACGTGTATCGGGATGAGTGTTCGTTGAAACCTGAAATGACGCAACCTTACACAAGTTATGTGCATGCACAGTTTTTGGTCAATTCAGCTGGTGTGGGGGGCTCTCTGCTTAAGGATAGATGCGACTCAGGATTTCAAGAGTCGGGGACCGTGCAAGCAGGGAACATTGCTCGAGGCCAGAGCATTGAAACTTTCAGCGGTCCTACATCCGGCAACTCCCCCAAAGCGACGAAGCGATCATCCCAGGATTCTGATCAATGGCCTTGGCTCGATGGCAAAGGCATGGAATCAGGCCGGGCTCATAACTGGTATGGGCTCGGACTCCGACTTGCTGAGAGTTGCAACCTTCTCAGTGGGCAAGGGGAGCAGGGGTCCAAGGCCAGGAAATGCTTGCCGGGCTTCCGTGCCAGCCTGCATCCGAAAGCCCACACCCTGCGGTTGTTGTAAGCCTCGAGACCAAATTTCTCATTTTCGTTTCAGCTCTACGGCCCGCACCTAGGCATCATATGATCCCTAAATGACCCCAACTGCTGAATACCATCCCTGGAAGAGTCTAAGCAACTGATGCCAACCTCCGAAAGCCTCTCCATTCGCAGAGTTGCCCAGTTTACAAGGCTCTATTCTCCGGGAACGCAATGAAGTCTCCAGCAGTTTAAAAAGGTTCGGCAAAGCATTATCTCTTGATATCCTGGAGCCCTGGCCTGTCCAAATTTGTGAGCGTGAAACGTGCTGGAAGGCCTTCAGCCAGACTTAGGTCTCAATAAAGAAATTTCTCGACCGCCCAAAGAGCAAGAAAACCCAAGTAGAGAAACTAGAATGCATAGAATGCAGGAGGGCGAACGTCGGCTGCGTGGCCAAAGCCAGGTGGAGCCCAACCTGCAGTTTCGATGGTCACAGAACGACTAGCACGCAGCAGGTTGTGCTTGAGCTAGCCCGGCCTGTGTTGTCGCACTGTTTTGATAGACATGCAAGGATGTATCTCAGCGACTTCTCTCGGCTTTAGGCCTTTCGGCGGGTAACTTTTGTTTGTGTCCCCCCCACTCTCTCTCTCTCTCTCTCTCGCCCGCTCTCCCGCAGTCCGGATTTGTATGTTTGCCTTATGTTCTCTATATGTATCTAGAATCTGTTTATCTACTTACCTCTCTATCTATCTATCTATCTATCTATCTATCTGTCTATACACAGGCAGACACGTGCATGACGCTCCTCGGCAGCTAGCTACAAACAGGCTCACATGTTCCGCATCATTTCATCCATTAGCCTTCTGTTGACGTGTGAAGTGTCTCATTCGGAGAATCATCAGTGGAGAATCATCAGTCGTTACCGTACGAGTTTAGCGTTCATGATAAGCTTATCTTTCAAGCAGACATTGCCATGAATCTGCACTTTGCTGCATCCATCGACTTGTAAGCACGGGATTTGCCAGTAGAGAGTCCATCCTGATGTTTGCAAACGCAAGCTCACGAGGCTCTTCTCTACGCTATCAAAGGGCCCTGCGAGCCTTGAATCACTGAAGCATCAGCATTTACTTCGAAGCTTGGTGATGCTAGTCTTATCATCCGCTAGCAGTAACTATCACAGACCAGTGCTTGAAGTGTTTGCTTCGAGGCAGCACATTGCAGCTGAGACTTGAACTGTTGCTTAAGGATTACACCATCATCCGGCCTGGCTACATGGGAAAGGTGGATGCCACCCTCGACGATGAGCAGCTGGTCCATGATGTTAAGTTGAGAGGGGGAAGGCTCCTACAGGTCACAAGAACTACCGCATCATGTCTGGCTGTAAGCCAAACTGATGTCGCCTGTTGTTCTGGCTCGTGTAGTTCGCTCCTGTTGGCGGCCGGGCTTCAATTCAAAACCGCTGCGGGTCCAGGACTGCAGAGCAGCGGGGGCATAGGCTGGGAGCACCGGGTGGGAAGGCACAGCGCACAACCATGCAAGCGATAGCCGCGAGCAGAGCAAGGCTTTCAATATTGGTCTTGTGCGTATTGTTACACCGAACCGAAGATTTATGCTTCACTCTTTGTGCGAAGCATCCCAGAGTTTGGTTGGTTCAGGCTGTCTCCTCCGAAGGCGCTACTACATTTTTTGCAGAACTGTGTTTCTGGTTCCTACCTGCTCGAAATTCCAAGAGCGCAACTGAAAGTGTTAGCGCACTGGTCCTGTGTGGCTACATCCGAAAGCTTCATTTGTCCTGTCCTGGGTAGCTTGCAGCGCAAACCCCGCCGCTTCTGCCCGACCGGGTACAGATAGAAAAGTTCAGGGTCTCGCTGGCTCTTGCGGATGATGGGGGAGATCTGAAAGTTTCGGCCATTCCGCACCGCTGCGTGGCGGCCACTCGACTACTGAAGGAACTGCTAAATCGTACGAGGCTTCGAGGTTTCAAGCTTGCGGATTGAAGAGGTGACTTCATGCTCAGAAGGATAACGATTTTTGTCGAGATCCTATTTCTTCCGCCAGGAAGAGCTAGAATTGGCCGCCGCAGTGTTGGCATCTCCTCGCACGGCACCAGTACCACAAGGGTTATTCATCCCTTTTAAGGTCCTGCAACATCAAGGTTGGCATGCAGCCAAGCCCAAATCACCCTGAAGCCTGAGGAGCTCTGTGTGCGATGTCTCGCCTATCCGAATGCGGCACGTGCCACGCTGGTGGCGATGACGCAGCCCGGCGATGGTCCAAGGACGCGGCACTGCGACAGGCAATGCTGGACACCTTGTGTCATTCCCACCGTCCCCTCTAGGATGAGTCCTGACCTCTGGCTCAAGCCGTTCACATTCTGCCCATTAGAGAACGGATAACTATGTTTTAATTGAGGAGCTCCAGTCAAATAGTTCAGTTAGTTCCGAGTGCGGTTTCACGGCCTGCAAGCACGAAGTTGGTGGTTGCACAAAAACCGCTAGACCACTAGCCTTCACTTGTCTAGAGCCATCGGGTCAGTTCATGTAGACCCCTTAACCACAGAGGTGCACAAGTTGAGAAATCTGTCACATTCCAAGAAATTGAGGCCGCGCAGAGCCATGCAAGGTCCATTGCTCCTTGTGGTTCTCTTTGCTTTTTGCAATGTCGCGGGAGCCGAAGATGCGGCAAGCTGTGAGGGTGACGACCCTGCCCTGCTCCAGTCCAAGCAGACAAGGTCGTTCCTGGGTCTGCTCTTTAATCATTCAGGAACTATGGTCGTTTCTATCACGTTCAGAAAGCAGATATATAGGTAGGTGGGCAAGTACATGAGTAGTTGGGTAGATAGGTAGATATAGGTTTGTAGGTAGATAGGTAGATAGGCAGATAGATAAGCAGACAGACAGATGTCAGGGCGCACAAGCCGCCATGGGCATGATATTAGCCAGTCTTTCTAATTGTTTGCGCTGTGGGCAGTGTCCATGTACCAGGCTGGGGAACCTTTCCTTGCAGAACGTTCAACTACACAGCTTGCCGATTCCCCCCACAACATGCGCGCACTGCTGCTGGCAAGATGGGGAAGAGGTACCGTGTTTGGATGTGGAGGGATGCGCTGCCAGGGGCCCGCAGAAGGGTAAATATGCAATTGTGCTCAGCTTGGTTGGGGCTGCTGTGCAGTCGGCCAATGAGCCTTGCCGGACTTTGGCCCAGCAGCCTAGCTTGGGTTCAGGCCTTCCGAAGCACGTAAGGTCCCGGCTTCAGTTGCTTCATGCTACTAGCACTCGTAGCGTCGTAGGCCCAAGGCCACTAGTCATGGACCAAGGAGACGAGATTCAGATACTTTGCCTCCATGCGGGCAGCTGCGAAACTGGCAGGGGCAGACATTCTCCTGCTCGTGGACAAAAGCGTCTGAGCTTGAAGAAGAGGTCACGGTTCAATGCAGAATTCTGTCGTGTGGAGAACATCAGACGTCTTTTCGTGACAACAAAATTGACAAGGCTTCAAGGGTCTTTGGCTGCGCTTTGACCTGAAAATAGTCAACAACTCTGAACAGCAGGCAGGGTGTAGTTCCTCAGCTCCGAGGAAACAGTGCGACCTTGAGCCCTTTTGTGCTGAAGCTCGTCCAAGACAAGGTGGCTCGACGAACACTTTGCATGGGCTTTTGCTCTCTAGGGTTTCCGTGTAGATATCCCAAGCTTGCTGACGTGCCGTCATCTGTGTTGCACAGTGCCTTCGCAACCGTAACCTTTTGCTGAATTCCTTAGAACCCGACAAGCCCCTTCCACTTCAGACTAGCCGCAAGGAGTTGAAGCTGTTGCTGGTGGATTGGGAGGTCCCCCCGCAGATGTGGCTTATCTGAGCTTGCAGGTTTCGCGCAGAAAAGCTGTAGGGGTCCAGGGCTTAAGGCAAAAGGCGCCTTGGCTTGTGTCTCACGGTATGGAAATCCCAAGGCCGCTCCGGAAGATTGGTGGTGTTGGTGCTGTTATGCAGATACCTTCAGTAATGCGATGCCTGATGACCCAAGGACATGGACCAATTCTAAAGTGCCCTGGTGTGGCCGGCAAGACTTTATCCGTCTGCATGTGCTTCTTGGCCAAATGTCAGCCGCAACCCATCGTGCTCGAAGGAAACAATTGATGCGTAAAAAATTGGCTGATCAGCACAGCATGTTCTCATGTAGAATCTCCGTGCGGCTGCAGTTCTCCCAGTCAGATGCGACTCTGCACAGTCTACTGTTGTATTGAACTGGGAATCGGGAGCTACTAGCGCAATCGCGCCACTTGAAAAGTGGATAACGCTAGGCGTGTTCAGGGGTGGGTGCCACTTGTGCCACTTGTGCCAGGGTTTAGGGGTTTCGGGTTTTAGGGTTTGCTACTGCTTGGCCTTGCGATCGATTGCCCGGGGCAGTGGGTGGGCGGCCGATGCCTTGAGTTGAAGGTTTGCGGCAGTTTACGGGTTTCGGGGTTCAGGGTTGATAGGGTTTCAGCCGTTTAGGCTTCAGGCTTTAGGGTTCAGGGTTTTTCGGGTTTAGGGCTTAGCGATTTAGGATTTTAGGGTTTAGGGCCAATCATGCTCCTCGGGCACCACCCGGCTCGCGGGTGGTGTGGTGCGCGCGTAGGTTCACGTTCCCTCACAACCCGCTCACCCAATCTACTACCTTTGGCAGTTTGAAAGACGGTCTCAACGCCCTAGGCCCTAGACATTGACGGCCAAATTCAGCCTTCCACAAATTCGGACCCCAGGCTAGGTCTTCAAGGGTACGATGCCGCTGCTTACTACGACACGGACGTGGAGTTCCGAGGTGGGCGTTTGGTATGAATATGTATGCACTCAGTCTTCCGAGTCGAACTCACGCATGCTTCTCAGTTAGGATCCTTTCGGATTTCGTGTGCGGCCATTCACAGCAGATAGCATCCGAACTGCGTTGTCTCAGCGATAGCAGCTGGCAGAAGATATCGGTCGAAAGATGCGGCGTGCGGGAACCGGAAGGCGTGTGATTTGTTCACACAGTTGTCCTGGAACGTCAACCAATACGAGGGTAGAGACCGCGGTTGGGAATTGTGTTCATGTGGCGATTTGGCCGGCCAGCAGCTGAACCGATAGCAGCCACCACCCGCTTTCGCGAATCTTCCCGCTGACCTTTGTGCAAATGGCTCCCCACTGGCATGGACGTGGGTAGCCCCAAAGAATTACCTTCAAAAGACAAGTGTCATATGGATTCCAGACCGTATGTTTGTATACGCATATGCGCAAAATATACTTTTTCGGAACCTACATATTTTTTTATTTCCGTATGTACATGCATCATAGTTGATGGCTGTGCTGCAGATTATGCTTGTGTGCTTACATCTGTACAATCACACACGACAAGATTCCCGAGGCTCTTCTTGGTCCGCATACACGCCCTCTCATATTGTCGAAACCCTCGCAGGGTTGGTGGCTATCGGATGGGTGGCGAGAATTTCGCACGATGTGCGTGCTGGAAACAGAAGTTAAGGACACCAGCTTCGATCTATCGTCATGTTGTGGGGTCCATATTGAACTCTTGCGACGCAACACTGGCGACAGCTGAGGTGACATTACGCCCATGCTGAAATGCGCTGCCACTGGAAAGTTCTTGTCCTCCAGCGGCGGTTCCTTGCATGCAGAAAGATGGCGGAAGTTGAGAAAGGCCTGCTCGCACCGCAAGAATTCTAAGCCAACATCTGGGATTCGCAAGCTTAGCAGCTGGCACCATGGTGCTTTCATGTCAGGGAGAGAGCAGTTCCCGGAAGCAGGGCCAGCATGAATTGGTGGCGCGAGCGTTGCTGCAGCACCTTTCCAATAGTTCGGCCCTTAAGCAAATGCTCAAACCAAGTTCACCAGAGATCCTGTCCTCAAATGTTATAGGAACCACAACAGATCGACCAGCGCCCACGAGCAGCGTTTTCGGCTCCAATCATTCGCTCGCTTGAACCGATGCAAATCAGCAGTGTTAAGTTGCTCTGTAGGTATCGGCGAGCCTCTGAATGTCGGCTTCTTTGCTTTGCGGCCGGACAGCCGCTGCTCGGAATGACGAGAGCCTTTGGGATGCCAAGGTCCGTTTCGATTGTCACAGGCGAAAGCCCCATATACTGAACACGTCGCAGAAGGGCCTAGATAGAACTCGAAGTCTTGAAGGCCCATCTCCCGGGTTTAGGGCTTAGGGACTTCAATGGCCGAGACTGAACAACGAAGGCCTCCTCTCAGCCGCGCTTGCCTTGGCCGAAATTGGCTTCGACAAGCAGACCTCCGAGCTGAGAATTCCTGGGGGCGGGATTTGAGGCAATTTGAGGTTCAGGGGTTCAGGTTTATCGCCGTAGTGGTCTTCAGGTATGGCTGGAGCCAGGAACAGCTGTGGGCTTTGACCTGAGGGGGCCTCTTGACTCCAGCGCTTCAGCTGTAGGTCGCAAAGTGTCGTTTTCAAGCGGTCGCAGACCCATTACGCCCCCAGGCCCGAAGTATCCAAAGCTCTGGCCTTCGGGGCATCCGATTTTCGTCTGGTCAAGGACATGCTGGGCAAACATGGGCTGGGCCCCTCGATTCTCGGCCATCTTTATCTGTTTTTGGTTTTGCATGCTGTCTTCTGTAGTACTTCTGTAGTAGATTCCACCGTGCTCAGATGCCCGCGCTCAAACGGTGCAGCCGCTGCAGTTGTCGCAATTTCCAATCTAGCTAGTCGCACAGAATACAATCATGAAAGTCGCGGGCAGCTCTCACAGAAAAAGAGATAACTTAATAATGAGACGGCTTCCGTCTCAGTTTGTCAGCACCGATTCGGGGCTTCTGATGGTTTAGCTACTACGGCACCGCTTAAGTTGACTTCACAACACGTGTGTTCACGCAGGGATTCTTGAAGCTGATGTGTTGCAGTTCAGGTGACTATGCCTATGTCGGTGGCGAGTGCGGGCAAGGCTTTATGCACCCTCGGCTTGCTGCAGTGTGTTTCAACAGGGGGCATGAAATGTGATCACGGCCTAGACCATGACCCTGGGCCCCTCATCCCTGGCGCTCAGTTCCATGCAGTGCAAAGACTTCCTGCGACGGTCCGCTTAGCGCGCTGCACGGGGTCGCTAACATGTATATACATACATATATATATATATGCATGCACATACGTACATACATACATACATACATACATACATACATACACACATAGATACATACATACACACA